GAAAGAAAGAAAGAAAGAAAGAAAGAAAGGAAGGAAGGAAGGAAGGAAGGAAGGAAGGAAGGAAGGAAGGAAGGAAGGAAGGAAGAAAGGAAGAAAGAAAGAGAAAAGAAAGTAAATAAGCGGCTGGAGGAAATTTGTCACGGGTTAAGAAAGTACTAGTGGGGGCTGGAGAGATGGCTTAGAGGTTAAGAGCACTGACTGCTCTTCCAGAGGTCCTGAGTTCAATTCCCAGCAACCAGATGATGGCTCACAACCATCTGTAATGAGATCTGGTGCCCTCTTCTGTGTACATAATAAGAGAAAGAGAAAGAGAGAAAGAAAGAGAAAGAAAGAAAGAACTAGTCTTGCAAGGATGAGTCGTTCAGGTCCCAGTATCCACATCAGGCAGTTCAAAACTCCAGTTCCATGCAGTCTGATGCCCTCTTCTGGCCTCCACAAGCACCTGCACTTAGATGCACATACCCACATACAGATGCATGCATACAAAATTTTTAAGACTAAAAATGAATAAATAATCGCTAGTACTGAGCTAATAGTGATCGCTCTGGCTAGCATTTTTGTATTGGCACTCTGGAGTTAGAGTCCCATGCCTAAGATGACCCAGAGAGTCACTTACCTCCTCTAAAGGCCTTCTAAACAGGATACTAAAGAAAGACTATACAGGCACAGTGAGTGGCCTTAGGACCAACTGCCCAAGGAAAGAGGGAGGGTTCTCCGAATAAACAAAAGTAGGAAAGGCTTTCAACTTTGCGGACAAAATGAGAAGTATAAACACTAAAAGGGAGGTGGGGGAGGCTGGAGAGATGATTCAGTGGTTGGAAGCACTGACCACTCTTCCAAAGGACCTGGGTTCAATTCCCAGCAGCCACAGAGTAGCTCACAACTGTCTATGACTCCAGTTCCAGGGGACCTGACACCCTCACACAGATATACATGCAGGCAAAACACCAATGCACATAATAAATAAAAAAAAAATTTAAAGGAGGAAAGAAAAAAAACATCTAAAAGGTAGCCTATGGTAAGAGTTCTCTGATAGCCTGGAGTAACTGTAGTTGAAAAAAAAAGTCCAGGAAGCCTAAGAAAATGTCTTTTTTCTAGAAATCTGCTGCTGGTTGCAGTGAATGTTGGCCACTCATTTTCAAGGAAATCACCCAGCAGTCCTTTCCCAATGGCCCTTGCACAGAAATTGCCTGTTTTCTATACAAAATGACTCACAAGCAACAGGTGCACGTGTATGTTCTAATGCTCATGCAGTCATCACTTCGGTCATCCACACTGTTGTGTGATAAGACATTTCCTGGGGAGACGTAACACACACAGATAGGGAGCCCATGACATCTCAGAGTATGGGATACCACCAAAGTCCAACTTGGTGAACCAATGAGTTTCATTGTGGGGTTTGAGGTGTGTATCACTGTATGTGGCTCTAGGGCTCTTTTGAAATTGAAATTATTTTAGTTCTATAAGTACCTGAGTCAAGGTTGACCACCATCTCAACTCCATCTTGGTATCCTTGGGTGGTTCTCACTCTTCCCCCGATGCCATGCTTCTCTACCCTTGTCGTAACCATGACTATTTTTGTCCTTATTCGTTGGTTTTCCTAATCAATATGACTGACAGATAAATGTGATAAATGTGGTAAATGTGGTTGCATTTTTAAAATAAGAGTTAGGTTAAAAGGTGACTTGGAAACAGTTCATCTAAATAGAATCCCCATAAATCTGTGGTACACAGAAAACCAGAACCTAGGATCCCTTACTGAGATCATCACACATCCACAGGACCGCCAACAGGCTCACCTTTTTGTAAGAGCTATAGCATTCAATGCTATGTGCGGGGGAGGGGGGGACCTTAAAAACAAAATAAATAAATGTTAATCAGATTTTATTATCTTTATTTTCATTTAAATTATTCAGATCTCTGGAAATGCACCAGAAAGCACCTCCAATATTCTCAAAAATACTGGACACATTTTTTTCTTCTGATCAAACTAATAACAGGATTGTTTTTTAAGTCTCTGAAACTGGAGTTCAGCACCATACATTAAATGAATGTCCCTGGCTGGCAGTTGGGGGAGCTTAATCAACCCCTCTAGTTCAGTTCAGGCAGTTCTTTGAAGCACTTCTTTCTGAGACACAAAGAAAAATAGTCATCACTCATTTTATAAACTCCAAAAACTCACCGACCTCTTAGGACTGGACAGTTTGAAACCAGGACACTCTTAGAAATGAAGTTGTTACTTCTTCCATCAAGAATCTTTTCATCTGGATTAATCTGTTACATCACTCCTAATCCTGTCAGGGAAGCTTCGTGCTAGAAAGGTCTGATCTGATGAATAAGGCTCCTGGGTTTGACCAAAACACAAGTTAAATGTGGTTTGTGTTTTGAGCTACTGATCCCTGCTGGGTTAGTGTTTGGCAGTCTCTCTCTCTCTCTCTCTCTCTCTCTCTCTCTCTCTCTCTCTCTCTCTCTCTCTCTCCTGTCTTTATAGATTAAATACTGTTCCCCTTTCCTTTCCAGGAAGAATTACACTGTGATTATATAACCGGATGCTCCTATCTAACAGGTTTTCCAAAGGAACCTGAAACCACATGACAGAAAGTAAGTTGCCAAGTACACGAGATGCTACTATCCGAGGCATATGCATAGTGTATGTAGCTCATATCTATGTATACATTCTCCATGTAAGACTAGAGCCAAAATAGTTAAATGAATAAATAAATAAAGCTGCATTAGTAGTTTGGAATTCTGAATTATCTAAATACCTATCCTAAGATGTGGATTCCTTCTTCTTTTTTTTTTTTTTTTCTTTTGGTTTTTTGAGACAGGGTTTCTCTATGTAGTTTTGGTGCCTTTCCTGGAACTCGCTTTGTAGACCAGGCTGGCCTTGAACTCACAGAGATCCGCCTGCCTCTGCCTCCCGAGTGCTGGGATGAAAGGCGTGCGCCACCACCGCCCGGCTAAGATGTGGATTCTTACTCGACTACCAAATAGCCATTCTTCCCTTCTTCACAAATTCACACAACCCCAATACCATCTAGGAATATAGGTACCCAGATAAAAGATTACATTTCCCAGTATCTTTTGATTGTGAGGTCATGTAATTATAGTGTGGTCAGTGAGATACCATAAATATTGACGGAGGCTTTGTGCCCTCTTTGGCTTCTTCTGTATTTTCCAGAAACACTGCTGTGACGGCCAGAGACGTGGTCAGCATTTGAAAACGGAGGGAAAAGAGCACCGAGGGCCACCGTCCTGTGCGTTCCAGATGACGTCACCGGGCCTTGGGATGGTCCACCTCCAGACCAGCTATCTAAGAAGGAAATAGAGTTCTCTCTTGTTTAGTTGACTGATGTGTGGGGCTTGAGTTATAGGTCGTTCTATCCAAACGTAAGTGATGCATGCCATCTTTATAACAGTATGCACGCCATCTTTATAGTAGTAGTCTACCTCCCTAATTGTGCCACACCATCTCCAGCTATTTTCTTGGTGGATTTGGTTACCCCTGAGCCTCTTTATTCTTTCTGTCACCCTTAGGCACACACTTCCCTGGATTACCGGCACCAATAACACCTCCAGGCCCCTGAAGGGATTTACAGTGGATCTTCCCATCCCAGATCAATGGTCAGTTTAGGGCAAAGAGTCAAGACGCATTTGTGTACCGGACCAACTGCTTTGGCACCAGCCACCTTTCTGTTTCCTGCCCCATTGGATCACGAAGACAGCGGGTCGGACCAGTGTGAGCTAGGATTTTCCAGGACTGTAAAGGGTATTGGATAGTTTGAGGACAGAACCTGCTAGAACTGTAGCATGACTAATGGACTACTCGGGCCTGGGAAAGAGGTCGCTGGTGGTTTAGACAGTGGAGGTTTCTACTTCCTGGATGGGGTCCTTGTTGGAGAGTGTGCCCGACATGTTGTCGGACTCCAGCAGCTCCACGATGCTGTAGGGAGAACAGTCTTCCAGCCCCAGCTTGCTGCACAGCCAGCCGCAGAAGCCTTTCTCCATGTCACAGGCAGCTCGCCACCACGCTCCCCAAGACCACGAGAGCTGGACCACAGCGGCGTAGAGCCCCAGGGAGGAGGCCATGGCCATGATGAGCACTGGGTAGAGGAGAATGAGGCAGGGGCAGTAGGAAATCTTATGCCAGAAGGTCCTCTCCTCATTGTACACGAGGAAGATGTTGTACCAGGTGATCGTGCCATAGTAGAACGCCACCACAAAAGAGAGGACGAAGACCACAGGGAGGCAGACCAGTGTCCAGAGGACCACGTGTGGGCCCTGGTCTGCTCCCACCTCACAGGCCCTTCTTCCCTCGGGGGCGGCTTCCCTGGACAGCTCCTTGGGTTTGGTCAGTTCCTGCAGCTCCTTCTCCGTCAACGTAACATGGATATCCACCATCTGGCCCTTTTTCTTCCCTCGGGTGATGGTCCCGGTGAGCGTGACGTAGCGGCTGTCCAAAGGCATGTTCCACACCCCTGCGGGCCACAAAGGAGATGCGAGTTTGGAACTGAGGAGTTCAGATTTCACCCCGGCGCGGCTCTGAGGCCGGGCCTGAGGAGGAGTCACAGACCCAGTGAGTCAGAGGCAGATTGAGAACGGATCTCCCTCCGGGGGCAATCTCTGTTATTACTGCTCCCACAGACAGCGGCGACGCCACACGCGTGGGCCCTGACACAGCTCTGAGCATGGTTAACTCGCTCTGCCTGTTGTCTCTCCATTTTTCGGGACCCCAGCCTGACACAGTCTCTGCAGTCACATCTTTTACCATGATCCTGGTTCTGGCTCACAAGTGCTATGGCGGCGTTATTATTTATGAGTGTTCACCTGTGTGTGCATGTGTGTGTGTATGTGTGTGTGTGTGTGTGTTGTGTGTGTGTATGTGTACACACCGAGGGTAGAGTCCGCCCCCTCCCTTCTCATTCCTAGCCCTTCCTGTGTTTCCCTGAGATGGGGCATTCTCTCATGCCTGTAAACACCCTAACTCTTATATGTAAGCTATAAATAATATAGCTCACTGCACACAAACACACTAAACATATATAATTTAAAAAAAAAATCTGGGGGCTGGAGAGATGGCTCAGAGGTTAAGAGCACCGACTGCCCTTCCAGAGGTCCTGAGTTCAATTCCCAGCAACCACATGGTGGCTCACAACCATCTGTAATGAGATCTGGCGCCCTCTTCTGTATACATAATAAATAAATAAATCTTTAAAAAAATAATAATAATAAAAGATCTGACTGTAAGGTATTTTCTTTTTTTTTTTTTTTGTTTTTTTGCTTTTTGTTGTTGTTTGGGGTTTTTTGTTTGTTTTGTTTTGTTTCGTTTTGGGTTGGGGGGTTGTTGTTTTGTTTTTTGTTGTTTTGGTTTTTTTTGGTTTTTCGAGACAGGGTTTCTCCATGTAGTTTTGGTGCCTTTCCCGGATCTCACTCTGTAGCCCAGACTGGCCTCGAACTCACAGAGATCTGCCTGGCTCTGCCTCCCGAGTTCTGGGATTAAAGGTGTGCACCACCACCACCACCACCACCACCACCACCACCGCCTGGCTTGTTTTTATGTTTTTTTCATACGGGGTTTTGTGGTGGTATTGTGTTCCCCAAAATATTGTGTACTCTAATAAATTTATCTGGGGTCAGAGACAGACAGCCACTAAATACAAAGGCTAGAAAATGGTGGCACTCACACCTTTAATCCTAGCATTCCAGAGATAGAAATCCCTCTGGATCTCTGTGAGTTCAAGGCCACATTGGAAATAGCCAAGCATGGTGACACACACCTTTAATCCCAGGAAGCCAGCCTTTAATCCCAGAGAGTGGTGGTAGAAAGCAGAAAGATATATAAGGCGTGACGACAAGAAACTAGAGATTTTGGCTGGTTAAGCTTCAAGCTTTGAGCAGTAATTCAGCTGAGACCCATTCCGGATGAGGACTCAGAGACCTCCAGTCTGAGGAGACAAGACCAGCTGAGGATCCGGCGAGGTGAGATAGCTGTGGCTTGTTCTGTCTCTCTGATCTACCAGCATGGACCCCAATAACTCACCTCAGGTTTGATTTTATTAATAAGAACCTTTAAGATTCCTGCTACAGTGTTTCTCTGTGTAGCATTGGGTGTCCTGGATCTCGCTCTGTAAACCAGGCTGGCCTCGAACTCACAGACATCCACCTGGCTCTGCCTCCCAGTGCTGGGACTAAAGGCATGAGCCACCACTGCCCAACTGAGTATCTTCTTAATTAATGATTGATGGGGGAAGGCCCAGCCCATTGTGTGTGGTTCCATCCCAAGGCTGGTGGGCCTGGGATCTACAAGAAAGCAGGCTGAACAAGCAGTGAGAAGCAATCCAATAAGCAGCACCCCTCCATGGCCTCTGCATGAGCTCCTGTCTCCAGGTTTCTACCCTGTTTGAGTTCCTGTCCTGATTTCCTTTGGTGATGAGTAGTGCTGTGGAAGTGGAACCCAAATACATCCTTTCCTCCCCAACTTGCTTTTTGTTCATGATGTTTTGTTGATGATGAAACCCTAACTAAGACATAGTTTCTTGATTTATTGGTGGTGGTGGTTTACTTTTTGTTTTATGAGACATAGTCTCACTGTATAGCCCAGGATGGCGTCCAGTTCATCACCCTTATACCTCAATCCCAGATGCTGGGATTATATAGGTATAAGCCACCACCCCTGGCTGCATAATTTCATAATTATTATGAAAGGTAACAACTGTTGCTCTTTATCTCATATATGTCAAGTAATTAGTCTATAAATCAGCTTCTTCTCTTACAGTAGCAGTTGAGAAAGGGTGGAGATCCCATCTCACCTAGAATACAGTGTTGCAGGCTCTAACTGTTGTCAGTTTAATTAATGAAGACTGGAACAGCTCAGGAAACCCACCACCCAAAAGAAAAAGGCCAGTGGGCAGGTGCCCGTCTCCTAGAGGGCAGACCCTGATTTGGTTTTCTGTTGTAGAATATTATTTTAAAGTGTGTTGCTTTTGTTTATGTTGCGATTGTTTTTAACTCTGTGAAGCTGTGTTACTGTGCCTGTCTAAAACATCTGATGGTCTAATAAAGAACTGAACGGCCAATAGCAAGGCAGGAGAAAGGATAGGTGGGGCTGGCAGGCAGAAAGAACTAATAGATGGAGAAATCTGGGGGAGGAGAGAGCTAGGGAAAAGAGGAAGTAGCCAGAGAAGGAGGAGGACTCCAGGAATCAGCCACCCAGCTACATAGCAAGCCATGGAGTAAGAAAGAAAGGTATACAGAAGTAAGAGAAAGGAAAAGCCCAGAGGCAAAAGGTAGATGGGATAAGTTAAGGAAAGCTGGCAAGAAACAAGCCAAGCGAAGGCTGGGCATTCATAATTAAGAATAAGCCTCCATGTGTGATTTATTTGGGAGCTGGGTGGTGGGCCCCCCAAAGAGATAGAGAGTAAAAACAACCAACAGTTTTCTTCCTATGACTTTGAACGAGGGAGTCCAGAGAGACTCACCATCATCTACAGGATAGTCCAGGAAATCCTCCCCCTCCTCCTCTTTGGGCCGATCTCCACCTTCTGATTCTTCAGGCTCCTCATCCATCTTCTCATTATCTGACCGGTAGATGATGATGGATTCTGGGCGAGACTCTTTCCTCTTCTTCTTCCTGCGGCCCAGTGTGGACTCCCCATCCAGGGCCAGGGCAGCAGCCACTGCCCTCCTCAGTGAGCCATGGTGGGGGCTTGGGAGCTGGCCCTGGCTTTCCGCCGGTACTGACTCTTCCATCCCAGTCCTGAGAACTAGCCGAGCTTACGTTAGATGGTTTGACTCGCTTGAGCAAACTCACGCTCCATGCATCACACGGCTTCTACCTGGAAAGGGCTATGCGGACACGCCCCCAAGGATGCGTGCGGCCTGAAAAACAGACAGGCAAAGCGTTAGCTGGAGTCAAAGACAGCAGACTGGAGAGAAGCTGGGAAATCGGCAGAGGAGGAGGAGTCCATGGAAATCCTCTTTCAGTAACAGATGAGGGATAAAATTTTAGTATTACTTTTGTCATTCGTAAATATATGGTATTACAAAAAAAAACCTCATACGTCCCGTTAAAGGGTACAGCGTATAAGAAAATTATTGAGGAAGTCCACAGGCAGGAGTTAAAACCAATCTTACTCTCTAGCCCGGCGGTGGTCCCCATGCCTTTAATCCCAGCACTTGGGAGGCAGAGCCAGGCGGATCTCTGTGAGCTCGAGGCCAGCCTGGTCTACAGAGTGAGATCCAGGACAGGTACCAAAAACTACACAGAGAAACCCTGTCTTGAAAAACTAAAAAAAAAAAAAAAAAAAAAATCTTACTCTCATCATAGATGGAGAATGGCATGGCTGGGATCAGTACTTTGTGCTTCTGACTGCCAAGAATGCATCCCAACGGTACCCAATTGGAAGAAGAGCAGTGAAACCTCACTAACAGCATCTACCTTGCTGTGTGGAAAGCCCGCCGGCTAGTCCAACACGCCCTCAGAAAGTTGCAGGAACCTGGAAGAGTCACTTTCAACAGACCGTCTTCTCTTGTTCTGCAGGTAATCCAGAAAGAATAAAAAAGAATGAGCATCTTACAGAGAAAATGCGGGCGTACCACTTATGTTTGCAATATCACCTTGGGCTAATATTGATTTTCTAGGCCAGCGGGTCTCAACCTTTCTAATACTGTGACCCTTTAAATCCAGTTCCTCAGGCTGTGGCGACCCCCCACCATAAAATTATTTTTGTTGTTACTTCAAAACTGTAACTTTGCTGCTGTTGTGAATTATAATGTAAATATCTGATATGCAGGATATCTGATATTCGACCCCCGTGAAAGGGTTGTTTGACCCCCCCAAAGGGGTCACTATACACATGTTGAGAATTTCTGTTCTAGGAGAAGATTAGAGGCTTTATCTGGAGCTTAAAAGGCTAAGCCAAGGCATGCCAAGAAAATCAAGACAGAGGAACTCTGGCTTTGAAACTCAGCTGCCCTCTCTGGAGGTTGCAACCCATTTGTAAGTTTGAGCCATTCCAAGGGCTACTGTGACTGTTGCTGATACAGAGTGACATTAGCAATATCCAGCCTGACATACTTAGGTAACCAGCTGCTGACAGTCTTCCAAAGAGAAAAAGAAAAGAAAACTGTTATTATAGTAAGTGTTGAACACTTACAATGGAGGACCTTTTTATTATAGAAGATGGCAAACTTACATAGAAATAAATACTTTAATGTATCTTCCTGGCACCCACCACCCAATCTCAACAATAATAAAACTATTCTAGGGCAATCTTGTTTTTTCATAGTATTTAACAGCAAATCCTAAACACCTCATTTCATTTCTACTTCAATATGTAAAATAAAGTAAACAAGCTCACAGTAGGGCAATAAGATGGCTCAAAGGGGAAAAGGTAGCATTGTGCCTGAAAATCTGAGTTGGATCCCCAGAATGCACCATGGATGGAAGGAGAGAACCAATACCCCTAAAACCGTCCTCTGCCATAAACAACACCCCTTTCCAAACACACACACACATGAATTTTTAAACTTCATAATAGCAATACTCCATGTAATTTTAAAAGCCATTCTTGAACATCATTATTAATTAAATTAACATTAAATAGGAACCTGTTCAAATCTCCCTGTTCTTACAAATGGGCCCTACATCTTTTTGCCTATAACAGTGCCACCCAGTGGAACTTTCTGGCCATTGCATCTGAAAAGAGGCCAGGCGAATAAGGAAGAGCCTTTGCCTTTTTAAAAAAAAGAAGCCTTTTTTTGTTTTGTTTTGTTTTTCAAGACAGGGTTTCTCTGTGTAGCCCTGGCTGTCCTGGAACGAGCTCTGTAGACCAGGCTGGCCTGGAACTCACAGAGCTCCACCTGCCTCTGCCCATTCCACCCCACCCCACCCCAGCCCCAGGGCTGGGATTAAAGGCTTGCGCCACCACAACGGCCCCCATACACATTTTTTTTTTTTTTTCTGGTTTTTCGAGACAGAGTTTCTCTGTGTAGCTTTGCGCCTTTCCTGGAGCTCACTTGGTAGCCCAGGCTGGCCTCGAACTCACAGAGATCCGCCTGCCTCTGCCTCCCGAGTGCTGGGATTAAAGGCGTGCGCCACCAACGCCCGGCAACCCCATACACATTTTTAACTAGGAAACTTAGAATCCTTAGCCTTAGGGAGAACCATATCTTCCCAGCCTCTCCGTGTAGTCCCTGGGCCATTTTGGTGAGGAGCTCCGACTTAGCTCGCTGATTCCTGAGAGCCCTCCAGTACTGCCATGTTGGGCTCTTTGCTCTGTTTGCTCTGGGAAGTCCGGCTGCTCTGAATCTTCCTGTGAATTCACTGGGTTAGTCTCCTAAAGGCCTTGACCCGACAAGTGAATTCACAGCCCGACAACCTGGGAGATCAGCTAGATTTAAGCATTCTCAGCGTTTCTCGGCGTTTCCTCTGTGTACCTTCATTCATAATGGAAAACTCCACCCAGGTTCCTTAACTTTTTTGCAGAAGGAGCAATATCAGTGCGATTTTTTTAAATTTTAAATTATTTTCATACCATATATCCTGATTGCATTCTTTTCTGTTGTTATCTTGGTTTAATGATTTTTTTCTTTCTTTTTCTTTTTCTTTTTTCCTTTTATTTTATTTTACAATACCATTCAGTTCTACATATCAGCCACGGGTTCCCCTGTTCTCCCCCCCCCCTCCCCTTACCCCCAGCCCACCCCCCATTCCCACCTCCTCCAGGGCAGAGCCTTCCCCGAGGACTGCAATCAACCTGGTAGTCTCAGTCCAGGCAGGTCCAGTCCCCTCCTCCCAGACTGAGCCAAGCGTCCCTGCATAAGCTCCAGGTTTCAAACAGCCAACTCATGCAATGAGCACAGGACTCGATCCCACTGCCTAGCTGCCTCCCAAACAGATAAAGCCGATCAACTGTCTCACCTATTCAGAGGGCCTGATCCAGCTGGGGGCCCCTCAGCCTTTGGGATTTTTTTAAAGAGCGCAAATTTATTTATTATGTATGTGCAAGTAATACACCATAAACCCAGTGCCTTCTGTGATGAGAACCTGTGGGTTCATGATGTTTAGTGAGGCCTCTAAGGCATGATCAGGTGATAAAGGGGTTAGAATAGCTTTCTCTAGGCCTCACCTTTAAGAATGCTATCTAGTAGCCCAGGCTGGGGTCATCCTTAGGGATTCCTGGCAATTGTGGAGAGGGTGCCTGAATTGAACTGGCTTGCCCCAGAGATCAGACCAGTGAATATCCTGTCATCACAGAACTTTTCTCCAGACTGATAGAAGCAGATGCAAAGATCCACAGCCAATCACTAGATAGAGCTCCAGGAATCCAATCAAAGAGAGAGAAGAGGGATTCTATGAGCAAGTGCATCAGGATCATGATGGGGAAACATGCAGGGACCACCAAACCAAACTAGAGGGAACTCATGAAAGTCGGATCAATGGCTGTGGAGCATACATGGGACTGGACTAGGCCCTCTACACCGTGAGACAGTTGTGTGGCTTGATCTGCTTGGGAGGCCCCCTGGTGGTCGGATCAGAATCCATCTCTGGTGCATGAGAGGGCTTTGTGGAGCCCACTACCTATGATGGGACACCTAGTGCAGCCTTGAGGCAGAAGGGAGGACTTGGACTTGCCTCTACTGGATGTGCCTACCCATGGGAGGCCTTGCCTTCTTGTGGGTGGGAGTGGGGGATGGGCTGGGAGGGAAGGCTGGAGGGGGGGAGGAGGGAAGAGGGGGATCTTTGGTGTGTAAAATGAATGAAAAAATTTTCTTCATAAAAAATGTTTAAAAAAAAAAGAATGCTATCTATAAGCACCTAATTAATTTCAGGAGTTGATTAAATAAGGGTTTAATATATAAAGACAAGACTCAACAATCTGCTTATCCATTGGGGAATCACCAAAGAAAATCAACTAGAGGATAGAGTCAAAGGGCAAAGGGCAAAGGACAATTATCTACCGCTTGGAAGGTCAAAATTGTCATCCCATGGAAAATAAATGCACCCAAATTTGGAAATACAGAAATGAAAACAAAAACAAAAACCAGCTGTGCGTGTGTGTGTGTGTGTGTGTGTGTGTGTGTGTGTGTGTGTGT